TCTGTGTTTTCTTTCACAGTATGACTAATACGGAAATGTTTTGCATGACTGTGTGTGTATAACCTTTATTAAATTGCCTGCCTTCTCAGTGATGGGAGAGGGGGCAGAAGGTGAGAGCATTTGGAACTCAAAAATGTAAGAAACAAACATTAACATTTGTTTTTAAGTGGGAAAATATTAAAATTTTAAAAAAACCAACCCACTGCATACATGTAGAAAATAAATATAATTAAAATGTATTTTACTTTTGGGCAAAGTTCAGGACTGCATGTTTTTTTTAGCAAGCATTAGCACACTAGAGTATTACAATCTCTGCAGAATTTGTTGGTGTGAATTCTTCCTGGATTATATCCAAAGGAATGTTATTATTGAAACTTTAGAAACCTCTGACATGTATCTCAAGGCCTGAATTTTGGCACTTAATAATTTATTTGGAGAATTCACACTAAATATTCTGGGTGACTTCTTGTGTGTGTTGCTAAGATTGGTTGATTAGATGGCTGCCCTGCTTTAGTTGAGTAATAAGTTGAAGATAACGTTTTGTTTTTAAATAGGCCCTATGTGTCTGAGAACTTGGAAGCAAAGTGGGTATTCCACATATTCAGGGGAGCTTTTGGATGCAACTCATCTTTTGCTTTCTTGAAGTAAAGCTACCGATCTGGTGCTGAACATGAGTTCATCCCAGTCCCAGGGGCCCAATCACTGCATTTTCCATCTGCCGTCTATATAAAAACACCACAGTGCCAAAAGTTCTTCATGTCTGTCAGCTCTTGAGTGTTTGGGAGCTAGAACCAGTTGAGGAATATAGGATACTTGCATTCATCTGAGGTCTTAAAAAGAGATTCATCAGAGCTCCTGATTGTCAGAATACCAAAAGTACTACCAAATTGACATTCCCAAAACACATCATTGACCATGTCACTCCCTTGCACAAGAAGATTTAGTGGCTATTTCTTCTGTGATGAAATGCAATCTTTGTTTGACATTTGAAGGCCTTCAAAATCTAATTCTAGCTTATCTGTCCAGGTTGGTTACACATTACACTTCATCACACATACTATATTTTAGCCAAATTGTGCTACTTTCTCTTCTCTATATATGTGGAATTCCAGTTTTCTGTCTCTGGGTCTTTAAACAGGCTGTTCCTTCTACCTGCAGTGTTATTCTTTTTTCCACATTTTTTAACTTCTTACTCCCTTTAAAGCTTGACTCAAATGTCACCTTTACCAAAAGGCCTTTCCTGATTATTCTAGTTAGTGTTCCCTCTACCCCTTGAAATTTCTTCATGTATATTTTTATTTACTAAACTTCTTGAATATGGGATTTAGTTTTGGTCTTTGTTTCCCAGAGTACCTTAGCGCAGTGTTTTAATCAGCACTTGACTAGTTGAGTTCCCTCATTTTCATCATCCTCAAAGCTTCACACCAAGTGTGAGTCACTCCGTAGACACCTGAATACCAGGGTATTCAGACCCAGGTACCCTGTTGGTTCTACTTCCAGCTCTTAAGTGATTAAAGTTATGGATTGGAGAAGCTTATAACACTCCTTCCATAGTAATGCAGTCTTTAATGAAACCCCAACTCAGCTACTCCTCCCCCCAGAACTTACCTCAGTGCCTGAGACCTCTTAACCCTGGAACATCCTTCTACTCTACCAATCCCCTTCTCCCAATGGTCAGTTACTTCAAAGGCCTCTGTCTTGAGGATAGGTTCAGGCCAGCCATACTTCATACCCTTCCTGGTTATGCCTATGATTCTTAACTTTTCTAACATGTACCTTCACTTACCTCCTCCCCATCAGTGCCTGCTTTTCAGCTCCCTTTTACATGTTGTCTATCTTCCCCTCCCCTGTCCTCTCCCCCCCATCAGAATGTAAGCTCCCTGAGAGCAGGAACTGTTTTTCTTTTTACTTGTATTTGTGTGCTTGATACTTTGCTGAGTGTTTGGCACATAGCAAATGCTTAATAAATGATCATTACCATGCCTTGTCTTGCTAAAGGGGATAGGACTTAATGTTCTATCGTTTTGTGATTGGAAAACTTCCAGTGCCTTTTCTCCATATTACAGTGATTCAGAATTACTGTTTGCTGATTGAAATATCTATTCTTACTTTTCATCTATGTCCATCTTAGTCCTCCCCCTTGTACATATCTCCCAGGAATTCCATTCCATTGTGTCCTTTGGACCTCTTTCATTATTAACAGGTATCCCTTTTTCCTATGCCACTTCATTTCATGCTATTTAGTCTGTTCATGGAAACCTCCCTAGGTGGCATTGTCACTTCCTTCATCATTCTTTATCATCATCTCTCAGCAGCTTTTCCTTCTTTGAGATTCATTTCATTGGTCTGTATCAACTACTCCAGATTCTTCTTCTTCTTCTTCTTCTTCTTCTTTTTTTTTGGGGGGGGGGGCTAGGCAACGGGGTTAAGTGACTTGCCCAGGGTCACACAGCTAGTAAGTGTTATGTGTCTGAGGCCGGATTTGAACTCAGGTCCTCCTGACTTCAGGGCTGGTACTCTATCTACTGTGTCACCTAGCTGCCCCTAACTACTCTAGATTCTTGCTGCAGTCATATGCTAGTCTCCAAGTCATTTTCTGTGATTTCTCAAGGAATTCACCACAATGCTGATGGTGTTTCCACCCCAACCCCTTACCTTCATATCCAGGGCTTTCCTCTTGAACTTCCTACCCTTTGTCCCACTTTCTCAGCCTCCAGCTCCTGTAACTTACATCGTCATTCCACTTATGTCATCTGCAGTGGTGAACACATACTTTACCATTATCCATAACTCGGCTATGATATTGGACATTGTTCTCTGTGATCATAACTTTCTATCTTTTGATCTCTTCCTGTGCTTCACTACTCTGAAACCTGTTGTTTTTCTTCATCATGGCCTCTAATCCCTCTTCACTCTTTACCTTTTCTTCTAGTTTTATCATTTGTGCTATGGCCTCTTTTCCTTCTCTTCGTAATCTTGCCCATATGGTTGATCATTTCAACTGTATACTATCCTCTGTTCATAATCTCTTGCTGCTTCATCCTGCTTCATCATTGCTGCTTCACACTTTGCCAAATTCCAACCCTGTGTTTACCTTCATTATCGTCTTTTCTACTTGAGTGTTTCTGAACACTGGTGGAAAAAAGTGGCAGAACCTTTCCTTTTGCATCCACTACAGAATTATATGAGATAGACCCTTACAGCTAAATGCTTGCTAATCTTCATTCTTTATTAACTGACTTTCATTCTCTTAACAGCTATTCAAAACCTTCTTACCTTTTGAAATCCCCTATAGTACCTGCAGTTACTTACTTGTCAGCATAGTATATCACCTCTTACTTACTAAGAAAATACAGATTTTGAACCTTGTATGCTTTTCCTCTCTACTACCCCTTACCACTCAGACACATCATATCACATCTTTTCATTTTTTGCTTCATTCCTGAAGAAAAGGTAACTCTTTGCTAAGACTACCCCTTTCTGCTTAAGTCCTTGTTTTCATCCACTACTTCTGTCTCTTCCAGGTTCGCTCCATCCATTCTCTTTATAATATTCAGTCTGTTCTTATCCATTGTTTTTTCTCCTCCTGTCTAGAAACATGTCCCAGTTTTCCTTATCCCATCCTTTTCCTTATAGAACTTTCACTTGATCCTCCCATCCCCTCCACTACTATTCTGTATCATTCACGGCCAAATTCTTAGAATGTTTTCTATACTTGTTACCTCTTTCTTTTCCTCTCACTTCTCAACTTCTTGGAATTTGGCTTCCAAATCTTATCATTCAACTGAAACTTATGTCTCCAAAGTTTTGAAAGATGTCTTAATTTTTTGAATTTGTTGGTCTTTTCTGAGTCTTCATTCTGCAGTTTGCTACTGTTGACCACCCTCTCTTCCTGTATACTCTCTCCTTCCTCTCCTTCCCTACTGCTGCATTGTTACTTTTCTTTTATCCATTAAGTGTGTGATTCCTCCCCATTAGCTCCCATTGTCCTAAGCTTTTTTTCTTCTATTTTCTCTTGATGATTTCATCAGCTCCAGTGGGATCAGTTATAATCTTGTCATTAATGATGGCAAAATCCATATATCTAGCCATAATGTCTCTCTCCCTGAGTCCCAATCTTGAATTGTCGACTGCCTCTTGGATATTGTTATCTAGTTGTCTCTTAGGCATTTCAAATTTTAAATGGCAGCTGCATCCTTCTACTCTTATAGAAACAGAAGACAAATACTGTTTATTGAAGAAAAAAAAAGTACGTTTGTCCTACTCAGAAGGGAAACTGAGAACCTAAAAATTGGGAGACCCAAAGTCTTGACAGTAAAAGGATTTCTTTAAAAAGCATGTTTTTTGTTTTGTTTTTAATGACCATAACCATAAAGCATATTATGCAATTTTCAGAAATTATGAGGAATAATGGTTTCCAGTGCTCTTTTCATATGTGACTACTAGGTACTGAAGGAAACTTTATTAAAGGTGATTTTGGTTTTGGTTTTGGTTTTCCTGTTCTGGAATGTCCTTGGGTTTGGAAGCTGATAATGAATTTATTCCGTTTTGTTTACTTTTACTTTTAAAATATCTGTAAGTTTTTCAGTATGCTTCCAGATTCTATACTATAATGTTTCTATCTACTTCCTGTATTAAAAGATCTACTAAAATTTTGATTTTCTCTGCTTTAGAACCTGAATATGAGAAAAAATTGACATGACAGACTTTTTAATTACTTGACTTATTGGCACAGCTCTATCGTTTAATTGCACTTCCAAATATTTCATGGCCCTGTTTGTTTCCATTCATATTTAATGTTTAAATTAAACTCATTGGTAATATGTCTTATACTCCTTTGTACGCATTTTAAATAGCATGTTTGTATTTACTAGATCATTTTCCATATGCAAACAAATCTAAACTCTTCATTTTAAAGCATATATATTGAGTACATGAATGCATTTAATACTTACTTTGTGTATGTGGTGCCCACAATACATAATCTTTCTATTTTACAGACATTGATGATGCCCAAATACTTCCCCGAACAACTAGAGTCAGACATTTTTCACAAAGTGAGGACACTGGAAATGAAGTTTTTGGTCCTTTGAATGAGGAACAGCCATTGCCACGAAGTAGCAGCACCTCTGACATCTTGGATCCATTCACTGTTGAACGAGCCAAAGGTGCAGTTCCTGTCATTGACAGTTCATCCCGTCATGTGCCAAGCTTGCAGAGTTCCACAGAGGCCTCTTCAGTATCTAGATCCACTGAAAGCTGCATCATTGATTCTAATAGTAGAGAGTCTTCTCTGGAAGTTGGTGATAGCATTTATGACCATCTTTGTCATTTAATAGGTCCAGTAGAACTTGTAGATACAGCTTTTGAACAGATCAAGTATAGTGACCTTGAAGAAGATGATGATCTTCTTTCTTCTCTGAAAGAATATCTTAAGGAAAAACAAGAAAATCATAGTAATTATAATATAGGTAGACTTGCAACTTCTCAGGAAGTTATTGCATCAGTAAATAGGAATGAGAGATTGACTAGATTAGATTGTGTAGATCAGACAGTTAAACCAGAAGATAACACCCCTGTTCTAGAAATGGCGGAGAATATAGAGTTTCAACTAGAACGAAATCCAGGTGATTTCATAAGTAACATTACACGCAATCAATCATACAATTTCACAAGATCTCAGGCTTTTGGTAAATCCAAGCACGTATACACTGAACCTGAATCAAGTTGTCCATATGATAAAGAAGGAAAAAGATACCTTCACAGACAAACAGCTACTGAAGGAGATATAGGTATGGACATAACATTAGCTGAAAAGCTTAAAGGTATCCACATTAATGAAAAAATTACTGTTCCATGTGTTATGGATGTCAAGAAAGTTCCACTAAAATCTCCGGTTAATTATGAAATACCTCATATTATGGATCCCTGCAAACTTTCTCCAACCAAAAGGAGCCTTTCTGAAACAGTGAGTTATAGGGCCAAAATCATGAAAAATACCACTAAGAAAAGAAATAGTGTCCACGTTACCTTTAGGCCAGCTACTGAATCAGTTCAGTTTTACAACCCTCTAGAAAATAAAGAGGCTCCATGGAAGGCAAGACTACGCAAGTTCAGTGGCTTCAGTAGTAGCAGCAGTACCAGTAGCAGTGGCACCAGTACTAACATTAGCTCAAATACTGCCACAGAACTAGTCAAGCCTGGTGTATATAGACCTTTGGATGTAATGAGTACAGCATCAACAAATAGTAAACCAGTTAAGGATTCTGCAGAGATACATGCAACCATATTACAGAAAGAAGGTTTTACAGTTAATCATTCAAGTAGTCGTAGTGCTCTTAGGTCTTCAAGTCATGAGTTAGGTCTACAACAGGGATCCCTGGGTGGCGTTTATAAAACTGTTGTACATGCTCTTTCGAAGCCGAAGGCAAATGTTTCCCCACAGAGGCAGAACAGAGTGCCACCAGAGGCTCCACTGAGGGATCTGTACAGTCATGTAATGGGCTATTTTGGAAGGAAAGCTGCAGGTGAGCACTAACTGTGCAGAACGCAAAAGGAGAAAGACAGCATCAGTTTGGCTTAATGCAACTGAAGCAAGCTATAAGCAATCAAGAAGCTTTGGGATGGTCACTGCTTTCTCTCTGTTTTGGTTATGCATGCATCTTTACCCATCTGAATTTCCCAGCATAAAATATCTTTATTTACTTTATAAATTACTAATTTCCTTTTTAAGGCATTTGGTCTTTGCTGCTAAGCATCAAGTTAGGGAAGAGGAAGAGACAGGAAATTATTAATGACCATCCAAAGAATTAAACATAAATATTGTTGCCTATCATATGGGCCTTTAAAATGAATCTATCAGACATGTATCATACTTTTCTTTTCCAAATGACTTGTTATTTTTACTGTTGATTGATTTAGTTTTCTTCCTCGTCCTGCTATTCCTCCTTATCTTTGGGAGTAAAAATACTTTGAAGCTTTTTTATATAATAGAAATCCAGGTGATATAACTAGCCCAGATAATTTTGGTTAACAGTTATTGAAGCTAATATTATTTCTTAAAAAACCTTCATGTTGATTTAGTTACTTTTCAAACCATTTGTAAGCATTCATTAGACTTTTCAGTTTTGCATTTACTAATATGAATATAAGTTGCATCTTAGCAACATTCATCATTGCTTTTTCTTGAAATTTTGGATGAGCACAAAAGTTTATGAAGGTTTATTGATGACCTAAATATGGAACTTTTACAGAAAAATTTTAAAAACAATCATGGTAACTGGTTTCACTGATCTTAGTTCAAAGTTAAAATAAATTCATCATATACAAAATAGAAAAGTTTTTGGTTTTTTTTTTTTTTTAATATTTATTAATTTGGTTAATTTAGCCTGAGTAACAGAATGTTCTATAGAGCATCTTGCATTGAGGCATTAATACCACCTGAGGGCAGTCTTTGAAAGCTTAGTTACAGTATAGCCAGGCCAGTAAGGTAATTATATTTCATAAAATACTTCTGACCAGTTTGTTATTTTAACCCAAAATGTTTCACATAGTTCATTAGAATATAATGTGCTGATTTTTAAAATGTTTAAAGGAAAATTTTTAAACCATATAATTTGTAACATTCAATTTTAGTAAAATTTTCTCATGCAAATGAATTCATACAGGAAACAAAATATACCTACTAAGTATTACATTTTATAACAAAAAAATGGTATATTAAGAGACCTCTCTATGAGTAAACAGCCTGTCCATAAAGCATTGATCATTCTGGACTTGCAGAGAGGCTAGTTTATATAATGTGTCTTGATTATAGAATTCTGTTTAAAAATATACCAATTGAAAACATCACAAGGTATTTTTAATATATCAAAATGAGGTAGTTTCTGTGAAGATATTTATAGAGCAAGGAAAATACAAATTATTAGGGCTATTTTCAATAAAAGAGGAAGGGAGGAAGAGCTATATGCTGGTATCTTTATAGCCAATATTAACCTGACTTCAACTAGTGCTTACCTGTAAGCTTTCTTGCTATTTAAGATCATACTGGAGATTGACTAACATCTGCTTAGTTTAAAAGTAAGTGTCAGATTTACTAATCTCATAATTAAATCTAAGAAAAGGGAAACTATTCCTAAATGCATGTTTGGTGAGTAATTGATATGGCATTGGAATTTTAAAAAATATTTTGTTTTAAATTTTAAAAAATAAGTTGCTTCTTCTTACTATATATAGTTATTCATTTATTTTTAGCCAGTAAAGAGGACATGAGTCAAAAGCTGCACCTTCTTAACAGTGACATTGGCAGCAGCAGTACTAACATTCCTGACCTGATGGATGAGTTTATAGCTGAAAGACTCCGAAGTGGTAATACATTGGTAAGCATATTTTGATTTATTTTGTTTATGCTAGTAGGAGAGTAAAGAAGATTTGTAAAATTTTATTTTATTAAAGAAGACATTAAAAGTTATCTCAAAATTGATATTTTTAGAATTTCTATATTTTAATTTACTTTAGGGTTTTATATATGCTTATAAATCTACTGTTAGTTTTAAAGACAAGCTGGTATATACTTTTTATCAGGTGAAAAATAAAAATTACCTACTTGTCAAAGGCAAAGGCCACATAAGGAGTAAAGGTTCTACTTTCCCAGTTCCCAGTTGTACAGTCACCTATGTTACTAAGATACTGACCTCATCCATCTCTGATGATACAGAAATCAGAAGACCTGGTTTTTTTTTGTTTGTTTGTTTTTGTTTTTGGTAAGGCAATTGGGGTTATGTGACTTGCCCAAGGTCACACAGCTAGTATGTGTCAAGTGTTTGGTCTGAGGCCGGATTTGAACTCAGGTCCTCCTGACTGCAGGGCCGGTGCTCTATCCACTGCGCCACCTAGCTGCCCCAAGACCTGGTTTTGAATCTCATCTTTTTCATTTACTAGTTCTGTGACCTTTGGCAAGTAATTTAATCTTTCTAGTCCTCAGGTGTTAAATGAAATAGTGGTACTATATGACCTTTGAAGTCCCTTTCAACTTTAAATCTATATTCCTATGGTTCTACTTATGTGATGCTTGAACACCATTGGGGGAAATCACCTAACTCTGCCACCTAGATCCACCACAAAGTTGTTAACTAATATTATCTGTGTATGTCCAAGGCAATGCTTTTTTCCTTCCCCAATTGACCCTCTATCTCATTTCCTTCATCAACTGTTCAAAACCAGCTCTCTCCTCCCTCTCATTGGAGGACCTTGATTTATTGAGAAAAGTATGTTTCTCTGTGGAAAATAGAGAGCATCCTGAATTTCTTTGTCTCTTCTACTTCATTTCTCATTTTATCCCTTTTTGTTTCGTTCTCTGATGAAAAGGTAGCCCTTTTCTTATTATAGGCTTTCTGTTTATATCCTCCATCCCATCTCTTCTAGGAGTTGGCTCCTTAGCATGTTTTCTCTTTCTCTCATATTCAGGTTTTTATTATCTATTGTGTCATTTGCTACTGCCAGATATTTTCCCTGTCCTTAAAAACTCTCAACTTGGCAACTTGACCTTGTGTCCTCAAGCTCATTTTCTATCACTTCTTCCTTTCACAGCCAAAGGCTAGAAAAAGTCATCTGCACTCATTATTTCTATTTCATCTCTCACTTAACCCTTTGTAGTCTGTATTCTGACTACATTACTAAATTGAAAATACTCCAAGTTTATCAGTGACCTCTAAGCTCTTGAATCCAAGGGCCTCTTTTTAGTCTTCATCCTTCTTGACCTCAGCTGTTTTTGTCACTGTCAACCACTCCCTTCTTGTGTTAAGTGTTCTCTTCTGGTTCTGCTCCTTTTTAGATGAGCACTCTTCAGTCTGTTCTGCTGCATCATCAGTTTGACAAATAATTATTTTACTTATGGGTAAGAGACTTTTCTAGGATTTGGGTGTTTGAAGACAAAAAAAAATAATCTTTGCTCCCAAGGAGCTTACGTTCTACTTTCTCTGAGGGTAAAGAGATGCAGCATGTATAAAGACAAATATATTCAAAATAATTTCAAGTTAAGACAGAGTACCAACATCTGGTAGGAGTAGAGAAGGCTTCCTGTTGATTATTGAAGGAAGTTACGGATTCTAAGACTTGGAAGTGAGAAGGAAATATATTTTAGGCATAAAATGGCCTTCTGAATTTTAACAATGGTTGGTCTTTTTGGATTGAATGTTAAATTATAAAGGAGAGTGATATAAGTCTGGAAAGGTAAGTGGGAGCCCCTGGATGTAATGGGAATCACTGAAAAATTTTAAGCAAGGGAGTGCTCAATCTGCATCTTCGGAAGAATATTTTGACCTCTGTATACAAGATGGACTGGAACAAGGAAAACTAGAAGCAGGGAGAACAATCAGGAAGCAATTGCAATAGTAGAGGCAAAAGATCTTCACCTTTCTGAAGCAGAAGAATGGCCATCTGAGAGGAAAGAAAGGGATAGATATATGCTGAAGATGTTGTGGAGGTTGAATTTGCTATACTTGGCAACTGATTGGGTATTGGGAGAGAGGGTGAGTGAGAGAAAAAGAACTCATTCCTTGGTGACCAGAAAGTGAGGCTGGTGACTTTGCACTGCCCTCTGTCACTTAAATCCAATTCACTTGCATGTCACGGTGTCACCTCCATAATGTCATGATCCTCTTCAAGAACAAAGGACAAACAGCAAGAGGTGACCAGAAGAATGGTAATAACTTTGGTGCAAATACTGAAGTTTGGAGAAGGAATAGATTTAAGGGAAAATATAAATTTTGTTTTGACCTGTTGAATTTGATTCAGGTGACAGTGTGGGCCTGGAGTTCAGTACAGAGATGAAAACTGGCAATATAATCAAGTGCCATAGGATCATAGATTTAGAGTCATCTGTATAGAGATAAATGAACCCATAAAACTTATGATAACACAAAAGAATCTTTCTGGGAGTTGAACTGTCAGGAGGATGACAGAGTGAAATGAAGGCTTTTTAAAGCCAGACAAGGCCTGAGAATGTTTGTAGGTTTGTAAGCAAGTGGGGAAAGAGTCAGTTCATAAGAAGAAAGGAGTGCTGTAAGAGGATGATCTTGGAGGAGATGAGATTAAGAGCAAAGGTTAGAACGGTTACCTTAACAAGGAGAATGACCACTACTTCCTGAGAGACAGAGAAAGGAGGAATTAAGTATGATGTAGAGGAGTTTTAAAGAAAAGGGTAAGGAGTATGTGTTAGTCTTTGTTTTCTCAGTAGAGATGAGGTTCTCTGCTGAGTTGGAGGTGAAAGGGGGTACATATAGTGGGTTCAAGAAGAGAAATGAAGTTTTGGAATAAATGTTTTAGAGAGAGTGTGATAGAAAGCTATTCATTCAGTCAGTCAAGAAGCATTTAAGTGTCTATTATGTGCCAGGCATCGTGCTAAATTTGGAATAGAAAGAAAGACAAAAGATAGTCTCTGTTCTCAAGGAGTTCATAGTTTAAATAAGGGAGGCAACATGCAAACAACTACACAGACAAGTTATATACTGGTTAAATTGGGGATAGTCTCAGAGGGAAGGTACTAAGGTTAAGAAGGACTAGGAAAGGCTACTTGCAGAAGTTCGGACTTTAACTAAGACTTGAAAGAAGCCAAGGAAGGCAGGAGGTAGAGATGAGGAGGGAAGGATGTTCCAAGCATGAAGGAGAGTCAGCAAAAGTGCTCAGCCCAAGGAGAATGGAGTATGCTGTGTTGGGTACAGAATGGTACTTAGTATCACTGGATCAAGAGTATATGGAGGAGAGTGAGATGTAAGACGACTAGAAAGGTAGGAAGGAGCCAGGTTATGATGAGCTTTGAAAGCCAAATTGTTGGATTTTATTTTTGATCCTGGAGGTGATAGAGAGTTACTAGAGTTTATTGATTGATATTTTGTGTGTGTGTGTGTGTGTACACCATGGTTAGACCTATACTTGAGGAAGATCATTTTGACAGCTGAGTGAAGGATGGATTGGAAGGGGGAGAGATTGGAGGCAGGGAAACCAACCAATCAGCAGGTTATTATAGTAGTCTGAGCATGAGGTAGGGGGAGGACTTACAGCAAAGTTGGTTATAGTGTTAGAGAAGAAAAAAGAGCATAGCAAAGAGATATTATGAAGGTAGAAAGCAGAGGACTTGACATCTGATTGCATATGGGAGGTTGAGAAGAGAGCAAGGAGTCAAAGATGGGAGGAGGTGGTATTCTTGACTAAAATTTATGGTAGAATAAAAGGATTTCTATGTGTAATGAAGGCCCTAGTCAACTTAGGTAAAATAGATTTGTAGTGGATCTAGTTGGCATTGTTTTATGACTTTGACCAGCAGCATTTAGTGTTTCTAATCAGGGATAGAAGGGGCAACAATTAAGCTTAGAGGTGTGTGTATATTTGAAGTGGTCAGCCATAGAGTTGAGACTGAAAGGAGGAAAGGGAATCTAGAGTAGGGGTAGAGGACCAGGAGAAGAAGACAAGGTCAATGGCTAAAGGTTGTGGTGAAACTGAGGAATAAGTTTAGAGGTCTCATTAATGCAACAGCAGCTTTTGTGACACCTCATAAGTTAGTAACCACCTCAGTACCCCAGCAGCCATGGTGAAGGGACCCACAGTTGGCATTAATCTTGGCACCATTTATTCCTGTTTTTCAACATGGAAAAGTGGAGATCATTTCTAAAACTAAGGAAACAAGGCTTCCCCAAGCTATGTCATCTTTACTGACCCAGAATTGTTGATCGGTTGTGCTTCAAAGAATCAAGTTGCATTGAAATTCACCAATACAGTATTTTATGCCAAGTATTTGATTAGTCACAGATTTGATGCTTCAGTTGTACAATCCAACATGAAGCATTGTCCTTTCATGGTGGCAAATGACTCAGGTGCAACTCAGGTCCAACTGGAGTACAAAAGGGAAACCAAAAGTTTTTATCCAGAGGAAATATCTTATGAGATTTTGACAAAGACAAAAGAAATTTCTGAAATAAATATATGGAAGACTTTTACAAATGATGTGATCACAGTACAAGCCTACTTAAGTGACTCCCAATGTTGGGTCAGCCACCAAAGATGCTAAATCATAAATTATCCTAATATTGTTGCTATTGCTTATGGCTTAAAGTAAGTTGGGGCTGAAAGAAATGTGTTGATCTTTGACCTCAGAGGAGGGCCCTTGTGATATTTCCACCTTCTCCATTGAAGATAGCATTTTTGAAATGAAGTCCACAACTAGAGGCATCAACTCAGGAGGGGAGGACTTTGACAACCTCATGGTGAGTCATTTCATTGATGAGTTTGCATACAAGTACAAGAGAACAAGTGAAAACAAGAGGGCTGTTCTCTGCCTCTACAGCACTTGTGAATATATAAAGCACACCCTCTCTTCTGGTAAACAGGCCAGTGGTATTGAAGTTGACTTCCTCTGTGAAAGTTTTGACTTCCATATATCTCTGTCACCTGTGCCGATTTCAAAGAACTGAATGCTGACTTTTTTCCTTGGCACACTGGACCTTTGTGAAAGGCTGTAAAGGAATGCCAAGCTAGATAAGTGATGGACCCATGACATCATCTTGATGGATGGTTCCACTTACATCCCCAAGATTCAGAAACTTCTGTAAGACTTCTTCAGTGTCAGGGAGCTGAATAAGAATATCAGTCCTGATGAGACTATTATTTATGTTATGGCTATCCAGGCTGCCAGCTTGTTTGGGTGTGAATATGAGAATGTTTAGGATTTGCTTGTTGGTGACTGTTACTGTAAATGGCTAGGTTGAATTGAAGGTATAGGCCAGAGAGAAGAGAAAGCTGATGAATTGGGAAGCACGAATCCTCTAGGAGATGTTGATCTGTACACTGAAGTCCCTGAATCTTAAGGAAAGGATTGGGGGAAAGAAAGGCTGTTACTCAGATACAGAAGAACTTCTTGAAAAAGGGTAGAGAATAACTTGAACATGATCAGTTGCAGTGACAAGGATCTTGACTGGATGGTGGAATAAATTTCAAAGGAAGAATGGTTACTTAATGATGGTGAAGAAAAGATAGTCCTTGAAAAAGCTATATACACTCATTGCTTCTGCTCTTCCTTTCACTCTCCTTTAAACCCCTGCAGTGTGGTGTCTGACGTCATCATTCAACTGAAGCTTTTCTCTAAAGTTAGTGATTCCTTAATTAGTAAATCTAGTGCCTTTTCTCAGTCTCCATCCTTCTTTATCTCTGCAGCATTTGATACTGTTGTTGACTCTCCTCTCCTGAATATGTTCTCACCTCTGGGTTTTTGCAGTGCTGCTCACTCTTGCTTCTCCTCTCTACTCTCTGCCCTTCTCAAACTTCTTTACTGGATCATCATCTATATCGTGCCTGCTAATTGGGTGTGACCCAAGGCTCATACACTGTGTCTTAGTGACTTCACAAGTTTCCATGGATTTATTTATCTTTTTTATGTAGATAACACTCAGAATATACGTGCGTATGTATGTGTATATATGTAAGTTAGATAATTGATCCATGACATCATGTTAGTGGGTGGTGCCACTTGTATACCCAAGATCCAGAAACTACTCTGATTTTTTCAGTGTTAGGTAGCTGAGTGAAAGTATCAATCTTGATGAGACTCTCTCTATATGTAGAGTTGCACTATAAAGTATCTTTTTCTCTGGTGCTTTCTTTGTCCATATGTACATATACACACATGAATATGTATGTATGTGTATGTATGTCACATGTCCAAAACACACTCATTATCTTTCCCCCAAAACCTACTCTTCTGAATCCCACATAAACAGTTACAAAATCTTTTTGTGTGCATCTTTACAACATTTGAATGTGTTTTCTTATTTCTACTCAGATAGCTCACACCTAGCTGTGTGACTCTGGAGAAGTCATTTAACTCTGTTTTCCTCAGTTTCCTTATCTTTAAAATGATCTGGAGAAGGAGATGGCAAACCACTTCAGTGTCTTTGCCAAGAAAACCCCAAATGGGATCATGAAAAGTTGGACATTACTAAAAAGCAATTGAATAATAATAAAATAATAATAATAATAAATGATAGAATCAGTGTTTTATTTTGTATAAGAATATATTCGTATTATATTTGTTATATTTGTATGGAAAAATTCTGCTCTCAAAACCTATTGTGGTGTTAAATGATCCTCATTTTTTGAAAGTTTTGCCCGCAGGACAAAAGCCCTAGACAGTCCTACCCAAATGAAAAAAATCCACTGTTTGCTGTCCAAGGTTCACCCTAGTTAACTCTTTCAGAAGCTTATCACTAGAAGGTTCCTATCAAATGATGAAATATTTTGGCTGTGGCGGTTCGTAAAGACTAGCTAGTAAGTTGGATGGGTTCAAATCTAGGTCTATGGAGAACAATTTTCACACCATTTAAATCAGAGATCATTTTAAAATATCTTGGAAAAACTGTTAGTTAACTGATGAGGATGGAAAATATCTTTCTTATATAACAAACATGATATTCTTTCATTTTCAGAATATGACAAGAAGAGGGAGCAGTCCAGGCAGCCTTGAAGTCCCAAAAGACCTCCCTGATATACTGAACAAGCAGAATCAGATGCGTCCTATAGATGATCCAGGTGTGCCCTCAGAATGGACCTCTCCTGCCAGTGCAGGCAGCAGTGACCTTATCAGCTCAGATAGCCATTCAGATTCTTTCAGCGCTTTCCAGTATGATGGCCGGAAATTTGACAGCAAGTATCTGGTTTTCTGCTTAGCATTACAATTATCTGTTAATTTGTCCTGTTTTCCCACTGTTAATTGCCTAGAGCATGTCTACATAGCATATTATAAATATGCCTTAGTTTTCAAAAATATCCCAAAAGTTTTTGATATATTTTACGCTATTAGCTGACATTGGCACTGCTATATACAGTCTGGGCATTCTAAATACTGTAAGAACATTCTCCCTTATCAGTCCTATAAACAAGTGGAAATGCAGTTCTTACCCTAGAAAATAAAAATTGATTTAAAATGGGCAAAAAAGAATAGGTTTAGTAGGAATGAGGTAGAGGGAAATATGAAAGAATAGGAAGTAATGATCAGTGAGAAAATTTTAAGCTTAAAACTACAGAAAGACTTCTGTATATACCGAGGCGTGGACCACAGAAGTGCTTCTCTTTGAATGGCAAGTTTCCCAAATGAAATTATATGTTTCAATTTGTCAAAACCAGTTATATATAATTTTGGGGAGAATTCAGCTCATTGCAACAAATATTTTAAGTATTAGAGACAGTGTAACAGAGTAGATAGAGTCCTGAATTAAGAGTGAGAAAGCCCTTGGAGTCAGGGAGATCCTGCCAGGCTGAAGAGGTGATATAGAGTAACCACTAAAGTTTTTTCGGTTGTAACATGTTAAGACTTGTGTCTTAGGAAGATTATTTTGGAAGCTGTGCAAAGTGAGTTATACTTTGCTTCCTATAACCTCATGCGCCAAAGTAAGTAGCACAGAGTGTGGTAATGTCTGCAAAGGATCAGCTATATTCCAAATATGATATATTGTGATATTCCAATCAGAATTCAGGAACACTAAAAAAGTTCTGTAGTAGTGGCAAAAATTGAGAAGTGATCATGTAGAAAACTTTGAAGGTTATTTTTTTTTATAACATCATAGGCAAAAATTATTCTGTCACTCTGCGCTAACACAATTGGCAAATATAGAATATAAAACAAAATGAAAGCATTGAGAACCAGGCTTGCATATGTGACAAAAAACACCCCAAAGCAGCTCCCTAACATGAATTTCTAAGAGTTTTACTCCTTTGGATAAATTTTTATTTCATGAGTCTTTGCCAAAGGCTCTTGGGATTTGGACATACCTCCTCTTAATATGTGTATAATATATTTTTTCTTTAGACTTAAGTCCATTAATCAATTCTATGCTTAAACTTCCATTAACAATCATATTTATTCTTTATTTTACCTGGATTATTCCCACAGAATTATCTTTAAATGGTTACTTTCCACTTTATTTAAAAGTTGCAGGCTTCTCAACTCTGTTTGGAATAGAGTGTTTATATCCCTATTTTCTGTGTCATGTAGTTGTCTTCAGAAGAAACATAAGCATATTTTTGAAACTACTATGGTTTCTACCAGATTTAAGTTTATTCTTAATCTGTAGACACATTTTGTTTTGCCTCACTATGTGTCATCCTTCTTATGACTGTTTGGGATTTTAAAACATTTAAAGCAGTAAAGCAATTTATTACAAGCCTTCAAGAACTTTATGCTAATTTATTAATAATAAGGCACTCAATTAAAAAATCCAAGTTTTATTGATGCCTTTTGTTTTTCTATTATTGTTATTTTGGGTTGAACTCCTTCCTTTATCCCAGAAACCCTTCCCTAGTCATCCTTACCATGGAACCAAGAAAAACAGTTACGCAAAACCAACAGACACATCAGCCACATATCAGATACTACACAACACTATGTACTCATACTCTCCAGAGAAGAGTAGGGAAGTGCATTTCCATCTTTTCTTAGGAGGTTGATTGGTCAATTTCAATTAAACAATTTTTCTCTTTCGTTTTAGTGTTCTATTTTATTTACATTATTGTAATCATGGTGTATCTTGTTTTCCTGGTTCTTAGGGTTGCATCATTTTCACATTCACTGTTTTTTCTAATTCCTCATCTTCATTTTTTCTTAATAGTCCCTACTTTTCCACAGAAAGGAGGGAAACACATTTCCATCTTTTCTTGGAAATCATTACTGGTCAGTTATAATTATGTAGTGTTCCACTCAGCGTTCATTTCATTTACATTATTGTGATCACTCTGTGTATATTGTTTTCCTGGTTCTACTTACTTTCAGTTTATATCATTTCATATATGTTTTTCATTGTTACTCTGACTACCTTATTTTCATCACTTTTTGCAGGGCAACAATATTCTGTTTAATTTATATGCCATAATTTGTCCAGCCATTATTCAGTCAGTGGACACCGACTTTGTTTCCTTTTTTTTCTGGCTATGGCAAAAAAAGTACTATCAATATTTTGTTATATATAGGTTTTTTTCCTTCTTCTTGTATTTGACTTCCTTGGAGGAGCTGCCTAGCAGTGGAATCTTTGGATCAAAAATTAGCAACAGTTCAGTGACTTGTATCACACAATTCAGTTTTTTTCCCCAGACAGCTGTACCATATCACAGTTACACCAACAGTATATTGATAAGACTATCTTCCCACAGCCCCTCCAGCCTTGTCTTGTTTTTTTGTCATCTCTCTCATCTTTCATAGTCTGAAGTAAAATTTAAAAAAATTAAAAAAGATTACTGATTTAGTACAGTCTTTCGTATCATTGTTGATAGTTTGCAATTCTTTTGAAAACTTTTGATATCCTTTGACTATTTTTTAAAAATTAGAGAACAGCTCTTGATCTTATGTAATTGATTGTTATTGTCATTTATTTGTTCATTCATGTTTCTCTGTAAGTGACCTTGTAAAGGGTTTTCGTGGCAAAGATACTAGAATGGTTTGCTATTTCCTTTTCCAGTGGATTGAGGCATATAGAGGTTAAGTGCGTTGCCCAGGGTGACAGAATTAGTTAGTGTCTGAGGTCAGACATGAACTCAACTTTTCCTGACTCTACCAGGGAGCCATCTAGTTGTGTTAATTTCCTTTTATTAGACCTTTGATACAAAGATTTTTTTTTTCTGGTTGACCATTTTCCTTCTTATCCTAGCTGTGTTGATTTTTTTTATGTAGAAACTATTTAATTTTATGCAGTAAAAGTTGTCAGTTTTCTCTTATGATCTTTTTTTTTTGATTAAGAATTGTCCTACTCATGGTATTGAAAGTACTTCATTCTCTTCTAAAGCTTTTTATATTTATATTTACAATTTAAGTTGACTAAGGTGCTTTTCAGTTTTTCTAGCAGCTCTGGTCAAACAGGGGTGTCTTTTCCCAAGTAGTTTATTTGAAGAGGTTTATCGAATCAAGTAGATTTATTGAACACTGGGCTACTATATCTGATTATTATTTCTAATTCTTACCTAGTCTCTTCCATTGATCTATTCTATGAATTGTTAATTTATAGTTGATTAATTTACATTTGATTCTTATCTATTTATAGATTTTGGCTTTGGAGTTGATGCTGGGACACTATCTTCTACTGAAGTTGATGCAAGTTTAGGACATCAGCAGAGTACAGAAGAACTTGATGCGGCAAGTTTAACTACATTGCACATAGATTCTGAAACAAGCAGTCTTAACCAACAGCTATTTTCTGCTGAAGTTGCAACTATTACTGGTAATAATAGTAATATTTACATAGCGCTTTAAGATTAGTGATGTACTTTACATAGGTTAACATTTCTCATGTAAATATATACTTGCATATATTATAATTTAATAACGTTACTCATGAATTGTTAAATATACACACACACGTGCATCTATGCATATGTATACATATACACACTTTTTTTTTTTAAAGAAATTAATTATCCTGAGGAATTTGGGTTATAATTTTATTGAAGAGAGTAAAATAACCCAAAGGTTTTATATATAAATATAAAATATCTATAATGCTGTTGAAAACAGTGGAACTGAACTCAACATTAATTACAATGAACAATCTTGATTCTGGAAGACAGAAGGAAGGAAAGAAGGAAAGAAAGAAGGAAACAGTCATTTGTAAGTGCCTGCTATGTGCCAGGCATTATGCTAAGCACTTTTTAAAGTGTTATCTCATTTGATCCTCACAACAACCCTGAGATACAGGTGCTGTTAATACCCCCATTTCATAGCTGAGGAAACTGAGGCAGATAGAACTTGCCAAGGAATATACATCTAATAAATTTCTCAGGCCAAATTTGAACTCAGGTCTTTCTGACCCTAGGCCCAGTGCTGTGTGTACTGCTCCTTAGCTTAGAGGAGACAATGAAAGCTGTCTTCAGGGTTTAAAGGGTTTTCACATAGCCGAGAGATTAGAAGTTTTCTGCTTGACCCTAAGGGCAGTACTAGAAACAAAGCCCAGGTTTCATATCCACCCTAGCTTCTCCTCATTCCTATGGGAGACATAATTTGATCCAACCTAGTTTTAAAAATAATAAATCATATTCAATGGAATTTCTCACATAGTTATTATTTGACTGATAAATCAGATAATGTGTATGATGTCCCTGTAACCCCCCAGTTCAGAACTGCCTTCTCTGGTTGCCACTGTCCTACACATATGATGTTCCTTTATTAGAATATAATCTTACTGAAAGCAGGGACTGCCTTACTTTGGTATCCATGTATCCCCTATGTTTAGCAAATCATAGTAGGCACTTTTAAAAAAAATGTTTAAACATTTTATTTTTTCCCCAGTTGCATGTAAAAACAATTTTAACATTTTTTGCTTCAAATTTTGAGTTCCAAATTCTCCTTCCCTTCCTCCCCTTTCTCTGCGTTGAGAAGGCAAGCAATTTGACAGAGGTTATGCGTGTGTAGTCATAGAAAACACATTTCCATATAAGTCATGTTGTGAAAGAAAACACAAAAGAATCCCATAAGAAAATAAAGAAAAAATATGCTTTAATCTGTGTTCAGACTCCATCAGTTCGTTCTTTGAAGATGGATAGCATCTTTCATCATGAGTCCTTCAGAATTGTGTTGGATCATTGTATTGCTCAGAATAGCTAATTTATTTACAATTGATCTTCATAACAATATTACTTTTATTGTGTAATGTTCACCTGGTTCTGCTCATTTCACTTTGCATCCATTTGTATAAGTTATAGCAGGCGTTAAGAGCTTTAAAAGCTTGTTCGTTCATTTGTTTCCTTGTCCAATGAGAACACTGTGTATGACTTAATGAATGTTTTTTCCTGGTGCTTTAAGTGTTACTTTTTTTTTGGCAACTGGGGAATTAATATGTGCTTTTAAAATGACATTATGAAATTTAATTTACAGGTTCAGAAAGTGTTTCCCCAATCCATTCTGTTCTGGGATCCAGATCACAGACACCATCTCCTGCTAATCTGAGTGCAGATCACATTGAACAGAAAGACCTGCAATTGGATGAGAAGCTCCAGCACTCTGTTTTGCAAACCCCAGATGATCTAGGCAATTATTTGGAAATTGGAAATTTCCATTTTTCTTTTTCCTCTGCATTAGAATTAAGAGGTTGTTAGTAAAATAATGTTCTTTGAATTGAAGAACATATTTTATGGTTAGTGCAATAGTGTTGGAATCTTTAGGAAAGTTAAATTTTACTCTAACATTTTCCTTGCTCTTTAAAAGTGGCCTTGTCATTTTTTTTAAACTGTAACTTCAGACAAAAAAATTCCTGTTGATTACCATTCCACACCTGAGATTATTTATTCCATTCTTCATGCATATTAAATTATCTTTCTTTGGTATTCATTAACCCAGGTAATAAATAATTATAGTACAGTTGTTTTTACTAATACTTTGTGGTCATTTAGAAATATTTGATAGCTTTCCTTTATAGGCAGACTTTAGGAGAAAGTTGGCTTATTTACCTGGTTTTGAATGGAAAAACTCAAAGTCATAGTATTTCCCCTTTGGTTGATTTTAATTCTTCAGGTTATCAAATTTTACCCACAGGTTTTATATTTTTAAGTGATTGTAGAAAGAAAGTAACTCACATTTGTAAGTGCTTTAAAACTTTTAAAGCACTGTTCTCACAACTCCACTGTGAGATAGGTATTGCACATCTAATTTTTTCTAGTTTGCAGGTGAGGAAATGGAGAACCATAGAGGTTAAATGATTTGCCTAATGTCACATAACTACTGAATATCAGAGATTAGGGTCAAATCAGGTCTTTCCTAACTCCAGAGGAATATAGCAATATAACAAAATGGAATAATGCCTGACTACCTTGGAAATTTTTTTTTGCTAAAAATAAGATAGATAGTTTTCAGAATATGTTAAGTATGTACACAGAGTATCATCATCATCATCATCATGATAATAGCTAACATTACATAGCACTTACTGTGTGCCAGGCACTATGCTAAGCACTTTACAATTATTATCTCATTTGATATCCACAACAATGCTGGGAAGTAAGTGCTGTTATTATCCCCATTTTACTGATGAGGAAACTGAGGTGGACAGAGGTTAAGGGACTTGCCCAGCATTACCCAGTGAGTGTCAGAGGCTGGGTTTGAACTTAGGTCTTCCTGATACTAGGCGTTGTAGTCTATCCATGGTACCACCTAGCTGCCCCTAGTCGTGACATTCATGACAGTCATGCTGTTGTCAGCATACCAGAATTGTTTTGAGAATATATTGGATAATTCTGACAAAGGAAGAGATTGCTGCAGGTAACATAGAACCTGACCACTGTAGTCCTGGAATACACTTGCTCTACTAACAAAATAAAAGCAAATTAAATTCCTGCATTGGTCAGTCAGTTAACTCTTTTAACATTTGGTTAACTCTCAGTTTCCTAGGACATAATTGTCTTCTTCGTGATCTCATTGTGCCTCTTGCTTATCCTTTTTTAAAAAATCTACTCTTTGATTGCTGTACTGTTCTTTAGCTTCACTTCAAGTGGAGAGAGAAACTTAGATTATTGTATTTCTTCTTAGTTTTATAAAGGTGTTGATGAGTCAACAGAATTAAAATCTTTGATTTTAGAGGGGCTATGAGGCTAATTTATGGTTTTATCCAGAATCTTAGTGCACTTCCTCCTTAGTCTTTTAATTTTTAATTAAAAAAAATCTTGAGTCATTTGTCATTTTCTTTTAAAGGATATTAAAGCTTGGTTCTGAGATTTGTCATGATCATTAGGATCTATTCTCCTATTTAAATGTTTCTTCCAGTTCTGTGGTATAGTTGCAGAATAGATGTGCTTCAGTAGTGCATCGCGGCATCGAATCTATTGTTTATTTTAATGTTCTTGTGATATGAAAACATAGGGTCATTTTGAAAATTACCTCTAACTTCCGTAATTGGGAAGAATAGTCTATAAAGATTTTAAGTGATTTGAGAAAATACTAGGAAAAGAGTAGTCGTACTGAGTTTGTACAGGCATGCCCCTTAAGCTAGTTGGCAAGGCATCCTTCTGAACATCAGCCCACAAAGAGTTAACTGTAGAGGTGTGCTGTATATATAGATTTAAAGGGAATTTTCTTTTTTTCTTATCAACCTATTACTCATTATTGGTGATAGTTTTATTTGAGTAATCAATCCAGACCAAAGCATTTAAAAAGTTTACCGAGAACACAGGGAGAAAAAAAAAACAATAAAGTTTGGTAGGGAAAATGTGTTATGTTGGAAATGAAAGAATCTACATCTTAGGAAAAATAAGAATAATTATGTACCATGTGGTATGTAATGGCCAGATAATAACTATTTCACGAGTATAAAGTTTTTTATTTTTCAAGAGTACAAGGTCAGTGATTTTTAAGTCATTGATCAACTTCTACCAAATAGAACAAGAGAGCATTGGCTCAAATTGTAAACACCAGAAGTAATTCAAGTTACATATAAGGAAGAATAACTTTCACAGTACATAAAGTTGTGGAATTTCCTTATAAATACATTCAATCTAAATTTTAAAAATGTTCAGGCCTGTTAAATAGTTTGGTTCTAAGAGTCTACGTAGTCTTTAAGATATTAACAATTAAAACTGCAGTAAGAGTTTTAGGACACCCTGCATATAGAAATTTATACTGGCTTTTATATTTTTTGCAGATTTTTCCAAGCTTAACTGTATCAAAAATACCACTGATATATGCATTAACAACCTAAAATTGTGCATTATTTCTCTTTTTAAATATTTTTAAATTAGCCCCAAAAATGAGTAGAATAATAGCTAACATATACACATGTACCTATTTATACCAATATACACAACACATATGTACATATATCTCTACACACACACACACACACACACACACACACACACACACACACACACACACACACACACAAAAACACATACATAAACACTTACTATGGGCCAGACGCTGTGCACTGCTATGAGGGCCGGTCCTCTATCCACTGCGCCACCTAACTGCACCCCCTGTGCTATTTTTATGATGAAACAGGCAAACTAGAAGTTAAGTGATTTGCCCAGGATCACATGAAACTAGTGTCTGAGGCTGCATATGAATTCATGTCTTCCTGATTCCAGGCCCAGCACTTTATCACCACCTACTTGCTGCAATGAGTTGTAGTCATTTGATGCTTTTAGAATTTTAAGTTAATTCCAGAATAGAGAGATTCTACATGTAAAGAGACTAATACATGTAAAGAGAACTGCATGTAAAGAGACTGATTGCCTAAGTTAGTAGCTCTTAGTTAATGGGAAAAAGTAAAAAATGATACATAAACTTACTTATATAAATCTGTTCTTAGATTATTTCTAAAATTTTCATCATTTCTGGAAGTAGAAATTTATCTACAATCTGCCACATCACAAAGGAGGATTTGAGTATAATGTTTCTCAAAACATCCAGTAAGTTTCCTTTTTTAGGTGATACTTTCAGTACTTAACAGAAATATTTAATTGATGAGTTAGTGCCCTGAATGAAGAATTTGTCAGTATATCAGGATCCAGCTAATCACAATGCTCATTATTTTTCTTATTTTCATGATGGTTGACTTTTTTTGTGTTTTTTCCTCTTAAAATTCACAGAAGTTTTATTTACAGTATTGTTGCGTTAACTTCTAGAAACAAGTGAGTTCCCGTCTGAATGTTGCAGTGTGATGGCAGGAGGTACTCTCACAGGATGGCATGCAGATGTTGCTACTGTGATGTGGAGAAGAATGCTAGGCATTTTGGGAGATGTTAACACTATTATGGATCCTGAAATACATGCTCAAGTGTTTGATTACTTGTGTGAGCTTTGGCAGAATTTAGCCAAGGTAAATGAAGGGAAAGTGAGATAGGAGAATTTATCATAGAGAAAAAACAAAAGATCCTTTGCTTATGAAATTAATAATGTACTACAGAATTGTATAAATTTCATAGTTATATTCTTTACCCTTTTAAAAAATTACAGATTAGAGATAATCTTGGCATTTCATCTGATAATATGACCTCACCCCCTCCACCAGTTTTAATACCTCCTCTGAGAATCCTTACTCCTTGGCTTTTCAAGGTAGGTTAAGTTTTTACTTTTGAAATAAATAGCTGATCAATATATTATAAGTCTCTTAAACCTTATAAGTAGATATATTTCACTGTTCTTTTTCTATAACATTTCTTTTTCTAGCTAGTTATTTTTTATGAGACTGCCTCTACAGTATGGCCAAAGCGATGTAGAAATTGGTATGAGTTAAAGCAGTTAGAATTAGAGGCACTCATAAAATAGAAATATTTAGTTACACTTAAATAGGTAACTATTTTTGCTCCCTTCTCCATTTTTCTTAGAAATTTAAAATTGACTTTTTAATTGTAGGCAACTATATTGACTGATAAATACAAGCAAGGCAAATTACATGCCTATAAACTTATTTGCAACACAATGAAAAGAAGACAAGATGTATCACCAAATAGAGACTTTTTAACACACTTCTATACTATAATGCATTGCGGACTACTCCATGTTGATCAGGTAAATGTATACTTTCTTAGAAATCCCACCCATTTACCTTTGATCTTTGATTCTCTTTACCATTGATGAATTAATATTTCAACTAGCCCTAGAGATGATTTCATTTTCATTGATTCATTTCACAGAAATTTTATTTTTATTGTTCAATGCAATACATATATTTAGTGGGCATTAAATATTAAAGGTTGATTTTTTGTTAAAAAAAAGGAAAGAAAAATGCTTTTTGAAAATTGCATATTCATCTACTGGTCCAACAATTTGTAAACTCAAATTTAATTTTATAATAAGTTCTAAAATAAGTTAACTCAGTATTGCTGGTACAGGTAGAATTGCAATTTGTGATATAGTCAGTCTGTTGTAAAATAACTAAATCAATGGGAATAACCTTAACAGCTAATTTTATTGCCTACCTGAAAGTGGAATGAATTAATTACCAAGTTAAGAGCTTTCACCTGTATTTCTTGTATGGGGCCTCTTTGCAAAGACTTAAGATTTCTAAAGTAGCTAACTTCCTTTGAGTTTCAGAACTTAAATTTATTACTTAAAATTGTTGGAAGTAAATGGGACCAGTAAATGAGTTTGTGCTTCACAATCTTAGAAAAAGTGGTTGGTTGTATCAAATACCCACTTCTAAATAGTCTTCCTTTTTGCTGTAGTGGTAGAATCTTCCTGGACCATTTGAAATAATAATTTTTGAGCTTACTTTCCTCTAAGCATATAACATCAGGAATTGCTCATTTGGGCAAATTAAAATTAGCCTTGTTTAAGACTATTTAAATTCATTTTTCAGTCAGTTTTCCAAAGACCTAACTTAGTAAAACAAAGTATAGAAATTGTTTTTCTTTCTGTATTTCTCAGCTTATTCAGTTTTAAGCTTTAACGAGTAACTGATAATAAATATGTGTGTACATATTTATGTATGTATATGTAATACCATTTTCCTCTTTGCTGTTCTTCCTCTTAAGGATATCGTTAATACAATCATCAAGCACTGCTCCCCTCAGTTTTTTTCACTTGGTTTGCCTGGTGCCACAATGCTTATTATGGATTTTATTGTAGCAGCTGGTAGAGTAGCTTCTTCAGCATTTCTTAATGTAAGTGCTCAGTTTTTTTTTCTTTACAATTCAGCAAATTTTAAATAAACCTTAACTAATTGGAATCCACAAATAAAAAAGTTTGTCACCTTGAGTTCACCAGAACTCAAAGTTTAGGTCACTTCCCTTCAGAATGAAAACTTAAAAGAAGCTCATACTTTCTTTTCTTTTCTTTTTCTTTTCTTCTTTTTTTTTTTTTTTTTTTTTTAAGGCAGTTGGGGGTAAGTAACTTGCCCAGGGTCACACAGCTAGTAAGTGTCAAGTGTTTGGTCAGAGGCTGGATTTGAACTCAGGTCCTCCCGACTTTAGGGCTGGTGCTCTACCCACTGTGCCACCTCACTTTCAAAGAAAAATTGTAACTGATTAACAGACCAGTGAAGCATCCATTAAATAGTGTTTCAGTATTGTGAGCGCTAAAGGGCAAAAGATGAAGGAAGCTAAAGTGAAGAGAGGAAAATTAAAAATGGATATAGCTAGGGAGAAAAGGAAGGCAGGAAGCAGTGGTGAGACAACACAAAAAGTATAGATGTGTTCTAAATGAGAGAACAGAAGTGGAAAAGTAGAAGTAAATTGAAATAGAAGTAAAGTCTATTGAATAGTGTACATAAGCTACAGAAAAAAGCTGTATGTCATACTCTGTGCTTTATAAGAGGAGCTTTATAAGGCATCCTATAATTATGACTTCCCTTTTCCTCAAAAACAATCCATAGTGAAAAGCAAAGCAGAATTAAATGCAAATTTAGACCAGTTTTTATACCTTCTATGTTTACAATATTCTTAACTCTATTAGTTTCGTGATCTTGGGCAAATCACTTAATCTCTAGGCTTCAGTTTCCTCATATATAAAATTAAAAAATTGAACTATTTGACCTAAGGTTCTTGATAGTTCTATTGTCTATGATCCTAAACTCTTATAATCCTCTTTTAGGATGGAAAATTACATGTCTGCCATGAACATTATGTTTAATATTGTAGACTTGAGCAGGGAACACACTTTGTAAGCCATTAACTGCTATATATATCACATATGCCCACTTTGATATTATTATTATAAGAAGTTAACGCTTTTTAACCAGGAATGTATGATAAAAATATTTTGATAACTTCATGATAAAATATTTTTATGATGAAAATATTTTGATAACTTTATTTAAATATAATTAGTTTCATTTGTAATCTTACATTTTTTATTTTATGCATTTAAAAATATTATTTTGAAAGGGGCTGTGAAAATGTAAAAGCTTCATGAGGAGAATAAATTTGAAGTGGACTTTAAAAAATGAGTTGGATTTCTGAGTCCTGTACCTGCTTAAAGGTAGCAAAAACAGCATGAACTAAGACCCAAAACTAGAAAGAGGTGGGCGTGTCCAGGAAGTGATGAGTAGGCCAGTTTGTCTAGAATATAAAGTATGTGAAAACAACTGTTTGCATTTAGGATTGCATTTCTAGGTTGGGCCAGATTGTGAAGGGCCCTTAAATAGAAGGCTGAAGAGTTTAAACTTTAGTAAATAAACAGTATTGAGCCCTAGAAGGCTTTTGAGTAGGGGGATAAGTCTTTAAACAGTATTTTAGTAATATTATTCTAGTGTTTAAGATGGATGAACCATTAGGAATTCTTTGAATTAGTTGTAACATGAAGTGACAATGGTACTCAATGTGTGGTGGGTAGGGTCATACAGATGGATTTTATTTCATAAAAATAAATCTTATGAAACTATGGGAATAGAAAATATTACCAAGGCAGACAGTATAAAAAGAAGTGACCCAAAGTACAATTTTGGGGAATACTCATATTTAGGGTGTGGAAAGAACAAAAACTAATTGTTAGGAGAAGAATCAGGATGGTTTATTGCCCACAAAGCCAAAGGTTCAGAAAGTTTCAAGGAGGGAATGATCAGTGGTGCCCATTGTCATAAAAAGGACAAGGAAAATTAAGGACTGAAAAAAAGTCCCATTGAATTTGGATATTAGGTTGTCACTAGTGATGGTTTCAGGAACAAGATTGGGGATAGAAGCTATATTTTCAGGAGTTAGGTAATTAGTGGAAGGTAAAAAAAATCTAGGGAAATGTACATATTGTACTTTTTGAAAAGTTTGGTAATGGACAAAAGCAAAGTATAATTGTTTTAGAGTAGAGAAACTTGAGTATATTTGTTGGCAGTAAGGAAGGAGAAATTAAAGATTCATGATAAAGGATAATTCTTGTAGTGGGATTCTAGAGGAGGAAATAAGATTAAAATCACAGGTAGAAAAGTTAGCTTCATATTGAAGGAGGAACGTCATTTTATCTGAGGAGGAGGGAAAAGATGGGAAAAGATAAAGTGTGAGATAGAAAGGAGGTGAAATGGATGTACCTTTTGCATCTGTAAAATAAGAAGCAAGGTTATCTGCTGAGGGTCTTAAGGCACAAGAAGAGTAGAAAAATTTTAGAACAATTACTTGGGAAATTTTAAGGAAGTGAGCATGAGATACTGGCAAGTATGAAAGCTCAATTTTTCTTGGGTAATATGAATTTGTAGTCATCTCCATTAGGTACAATTTCCTAACGTTTTCTAGGCCTAACCTACCTGGAAGTTGGAATAAATTAGATATTTGGAGTAATCCAGCAATGGAGACTGATAAAAATCTGAGGAGCAGCAGAATATCCAAAGGACAATAAATTCTGTGGTGCTAGCTAGATCTTCTCTAAAGTGACTAGCCAACCATGGGTTGGGTTGGGGAGGTGAGTGAAACTAGACTTGATGGATGAGAGAATCCTAAGAATTGAAGGACTGGAGGTTTTGATGAGGATAACCAACAGTGATTGAGTGACAAATGACTGAGGTGACAAGTCATGTTTTGGTGATTAGAAAAGGGATTTTAAGAATTTGATTATGAGATGAGATGACTACACAGCTAGAAGTTCAAAGTGTGAAGTTTTATACGTAAAAACATTTTTCATGAGAACAGCTTATATAAATAAGCTTAGATAAATTAAAACCTCACAACATATGCAGCATTTCAGAGAGGGGGGATTTTTTTTTGGAAAAATACTATCTTAAACGGTACTGATGATGGTCAAAGTAATAATAATAGCAGTTATTTGTTTTATTATAGGGTTCTGTAAACCATTTTGTATCTATGGTCTCATTTGATTCTCATAAAATCCTTGTTCTTATTATCCCTATTTTACAAATGAGGAAATTGAAGTTCATAAAAATTTCTTGAGTTTCCCAAGGTCATATGGCTTTTAAATGGTAATGGTATGAGATTTGAACCTCAGTCTTTTGACTCTAATTGCGGTGTTCTTGCCACTTATATCAGGCTGTTTAGCTACAGCTATATTCATCATTGAACATGTGTAGGTGAATAGATATATGTTTGTATTAAGATTGTTAAAATTATAATTATATCTTAAATACTTGGGCATGGTTTTACCCTTTAGAATTTTTGTGTTTTGTAATTCAGATTCACTTCTCCATTTTTTGTTAGAGTACAGCATTGGCTTGAAATGTTTTTTTTCTTAATACATATTAACACTGTTAAATGCATTTTTATGTTCTGGATTATCTGATACTTAGGCACCAAGAGTAGAAGCACAAGTTCTGCTGGGGTCCCTTGTCTGCTTTCCCAATTTGTATTGTGTACTACCAGCTCTTCATCCAAACATGCCTGATATTGCTGTGTCTCAGTTCACAGATGTTAAGGTGAGCTATTGATCAGATCCACAGACATTTTTTTAAGGACCTACCATACATAAGGCAATTAATCATTATATTAACTGTGAAGTTTTCATGTTTTAGTGATATGGATAGTTTTTATTCTTTCTGTTATTTTAAGAATCCTTTTAAGGGGGAATTTGTTCTGTGAAGTTGGATTCATTCAGAAGGCTGCACTTGAGAACCTAGAGGGCTACATGTGGCCTCGAGGCCGCAGGTTCCTCACCCCAACTGTAAAAAAATCCTTATTTTGAGGTTTATCAAGCACTCTATCTTATGGAGAATAAGCATCAAAGCTTTGAAGGCTACTCTGTATCCTTTGCATAAAGCTAATTCTCCACAGCATTTATGGTTCAGGTTGCTTTGAAAATAACTTTTCTTGGCCCAGATTCACGTTTTGGGATTATTCTGGGGCTGTGGAAGATTTCTTCATAGCAGCTGTATTCCCAGTATCAGATACAACCTGCCTTTGAAAAGTGCATCCGGGCCTACATATGCTAGAGAATACTTTATCCAAACAAAATTCTAGTTTGAATACCAGTAGCCCAAAATTTCCTAAGGTTAGTAACTGTTAGAGTGTGCACCTGCCATGGTAGTTGCCAAAATGATCTCTTGCAGGGCCTATGTAGGCTTCTGGAATACTAAGAAGAGGTGAAAAAGCAGAAGTTACTCAGGTGCCAAGAAAACAAATTGTAAAATGACTTACTGAAATATTTTGTGCAACTTTAAAATATATGGCAAAATTTCCTATCCAAATGATTATTTAAATTTAGTTCCTAGTCAGGAATGTTACAAAGTAGAAATGTTATATACCTAGTTTGTACATAAAAATTTCAAGGTAAATACAGTATGATTTAAAATCATTATTTTTAACACTATTACCTAGTTGTAATAATACATTATTATATTACATTTTTTTCTCTGGAACTGCAGAAAGACCTAATTTTGTTCATATTGCAGAATAATACAGATTACTCACCTTATTGGGCACTATACTATAAGTAAAAATACTTTTTAGAAGTGTTCTAATTATCCATGGTAATAGTAAACTGTTTAATAAAGTTGCATAGAATAAGAACACTTTTCATCCTTTGAAATAACTATATGCTCCCAGACTAATTAGTTATTGAACCTCCCAAAACCAAGAAGCATTTTACTTGGTACCATCATGCCTCATAAGCATGAGTAGATAGACAAAAATTGCTTTTTGATTTTTCTAAACAAAATTGAAACAGGCCTATTATGGATTAGTCTTTATTTCTTCTTGAAGTTTTTTGTTGTTATTTTTAATCACTTGTCATTTTAGGCCATAATATTTAATTTATTTTGGGATTGGAAGCTATTTTAATGAGAATCTTTGGGTTAAAACATTAATAAAAATGATACCTGAAATATTGCCTGCTATATGTAGATATGTTACACCTATACCAAACTAGTGAGACTAAAAAAATTCTGTTTTTAATGAGAATAATTGAATATCAGTTTTTCATTAATCATCAAATTGTATTTAAATTAATGGCTTTTTATATACCACAGCACTGTGTCATGTATATTGGGATAATATTAAAAAATGTTTTTTGCTATTGGGTATGATAAAATACACTTTTATGAGAAGAATAAAGGCTGTTTGCAAAGCAAATATGATATACAAATGAATACAGTATGAACTAAGAACATTAAGTATTAGAGGATAGAATAGAGGAGTAATTGATTGGGTCAGTAACCTAAAAGAAATGAGAAAATCTAGTTTTGAAGAAAATGAGGGATGTAGAATGATAAAGATGAAGTGAAGGGACTTGAAGAGAGGTTGAGTTATATGTACAAAAACATCAATTTGGGAATAAGTAAATCATTTGTGAGAGTTAGCACACCATTTGAGTTGATTGAAAATAACTGGAAAATAGCTGGTAAAGGGGAATAACTAGAAAGAAGGTAATGATATGGTCATCGTCCTTAAGACTAAGTTGAACAGTTTAGGTCAGATATAATAGACAACAGAAGCATTATTGTTTTTTTTACCAAAAATGACATGATGCAAATGATGTGGTTTAGAAAAATTAGGTTAGCAGCAGTGTTTGGAAGAGAAGAACTAGAGATCCATTATGAAATTATTGCTGCAAGTTCAATGCAAATTGATGAGGACCTGGATTGAGGTTTGATGACAGCCAATCTAAGATACACAGTAGAGATAGTAAAAATGTCAGGGCTTGTTAGTCAGTTGGTAAGCACTTATAATTATGTGCCATGTGCCAAGCATTGTGCTAGGCTCTGGGGATTATACATGAGCAGCAACATGTTTCCTTGTTAAGGAGAAAGATAGCAAATTCACTTACTTAGTGTTTGAAGTAGAGAATGGTGACTTACTCTAGAGAGAGAGATCGGGATTAAAGGGGTTTAATTTGTTTTTATTTTGGAGGTTCATAAAACACTAAAAACTTGCATATAGTGAAACATTTGTTTTTTAATATTCATTCATTTGAAATTCTTGATGATATTACCTATTAAAGAGTCTTTGTAATTCCAGCTTTTGATATGTGATACTGATCCTGAAAACGTTCTGTTTTTCTTTTAGCCAGATACAAGGGATAGAAGAGTTACTGCTTTTTTTAATCTTGTAGCAATCAAAAAAATCTTTATTAAGCTATCATTGTCATTTGGAGGGTGACGAGAATCATTTCAGTAGTTTACTATCAAGAAGGAGAGATAAAAGTATGAAATAGTAAGAGAACAGTACGAAAAAAGTAATTAAATGTTAAATGTTGTCATATGAGCAGGTAGTTTTAAATTTAGATTTCATATTGTTTTTCAGTTTATATAGTTCAGAGCCCTTTTTTTTACAGGTATTTGGGGGAGTTTGGGGAGAGCTGAAGCAAGTCACTGCTTTTACTCCATCGTCTTGGCTCCACCCCAGTTTATATAGTTCAAAAGATTTAAGATGAGTCTTTCCTCTGCTTTCAATATGAATTGACCTCTCTACATAGTTTAACTTAATGGGATGTCATTATTGTGAATCCTGTGTTTATTGATTTTTGTGACTCTTTTCTTTATTCCATCTCCTAAGTCTCCTTTGTCAGATTACCTGTTTGTATTTAAAAAAAAAAAGTCTTATTGTGAACTTGACATTCATCAATAACCATAGAAATTTTTTTAAGCTTTATTTAATTTGCTTTTTTAAATTAACAAATATCTGGGTTTTTTCCCTTTCCTATTAGGAAAAAAAAAACCTCCTTATGTAATAATCATACTCAGGCAAAACAAATTCCCACATTTTATCAGTGAGTTTATCCATTCACATATACAGTTATTATTGAGAATTGTGTTTTTCCTTCTGTTACTTTTCCCCTTCTTTGTACCTCCCTCCCTGTTTGCACTGACGAAGGTGGTAAAAGAAAAGGATTGTGATTAATGCTAATTATCTGTTATTGAAGTGGTCTGATCTCACTTTGCTTCCCCTCATCTCTTCCTCTAGTCAAAAATCCTGATCACTGGTTATTATTCTTCTTTCTCTCTTGATTTATAATCCACCTGCAGATGTTAAAGTTTATCTTGCTTATGGCTCCCCAATTGTACTCTCCATCTCCCTGTTTTCTCTTGTTTCTTTGTTGAATTTAATGTATTTCTACCCCAAATTATTTGTATTGTTATGCAATCCTTGAATGGATGAAGGCATTTTTTGCTGTTTATCTTAGGTTTTATTTCATTTTTCCTTATGGTATATTTTTAGAACTCTACTGGGGAAAATGTGAGCTTCTGTGGTTCTTATCACTGTATTCTTCTTAATTGTAAGTCTTTTCTTTGTATTAAGTAAGAGTGTGATCATACCTATGTTTTAAAGATAGCAGTTTGGTAGCCATGTGGCAGTTTTGTTGGAGAGGAGAGAGACTTGTGGTTAAGACCAATCAGAAGGGTATTATAATAGTTGACACCAGAAGTACTAGAGTTGTCACTCTTTGATTGGATAGAATGGGGCAGGTATTTGAGATATAGAAGTAAAATGAATGAGACTTAGTAACTGTTTTGATACTTGGAGTAAGGGAGAGTTAGAAATCAAGGAAGACTCCATTCTTGAAATTCTTTAACAGGAAGATTTGTATTTCCATCAACAGAAATAGGGAAAGTTTAAAAAGAAATGTGCTTGATGAGGCTAAAATATAAGCTCTGTTTTGGACAAGTGGGTTTTGAAATGCTTTTTGGATACCTAGTTTGAAACATTCAATAGTCATTTGGTAGTGTGCTCATGAGAGAGACTAATCAAGCAGTAAACATTTATTAAACATCTCTTTTGTGCCAAGCGGTCTACTAATCACTAGAGGCTAAGGCTGCCTATATAAGTCTGGGACTCACCTGCATAGAAATGATGGAGATGGTAAATTCTAGTGAGAGGTTTTACTTAACTTTTATTTTCAAAGATTTGTAGTCTTTTCTTCTCTCCTAATCTCCCATTAAGAAAGCGAGACAAATGAAACCTGTTTTAAAAATGTGTATAGTCAAGCAAAACAAATGCCTGCATTGGCCATATCCAAAAAAAAGTCTCAATCTGCAACTCTGATTTAATCACTTAATAGGGAGTGGCAACATGTTTTATTATGAGTCCTCTGAAATTATGGGTTACCATTGCCTTGATAAGAGTTCTTAAGTCTTTCAAAGTTTTTTTTTTTTTACAATAGTACTGTTTTTATATAAATTGTTTTTATGGTTCTGCTCACTTCACTCTGTTCATACAAGCCAATAAAGGGTTTTAAGAAAGTAGTGTAGGGAGAAGAAACTCATGCTCATGCAAATGAAGTCTCCAGAGAAGAGGAGGAGGTAGGAGAGACACTAAGATGGAGAAGAAGGAAAAGAGAAAAGAAAAGAATAAGCATTTTACTATGTGCCAGGAATTGTGCTAATTGCTTTTCAGAAATATCTCATTTGATCCTCACAAGCACCACCTGGATGGTAGGTGCTATTATTATCCCCATTTTACAGTTGAGGAAACAGAAAACAGA